GGGTAAAACTAACCCGAGAGAGCGTCCAGACGGGTAAAACTAACCCGAGAGAGCGTCCAGACGGGTAAAACTAACCCGAGAGAGCGTTCAGACGGGTAAAACTAACCCGAGAAAATACAAAGGCAGGTAAAACTCACCTGAAGCTGTAGGTAATGTGAAATCTCTGCAAGTCTCAGTTATCAACAGTTTTGAGTGAAATCTGGCCGTCTTCACACTCAATGGTTCAGGATGACAGAGGATCGCTTCTGCTTATTCTCAGCCAGAACACAAACATCAGCAGTGTGTTAGATGACATAAAGGCCGTATTAACAGTGAAGGTATCTCTCCGTTCGCAGTGATGATGCAGAGTTTCTGTGGCGTTTGGCGCGAGCGTCCCGTGATCTGGCGTTACTGTCCAGCATCAGCGCCGACGAGAAGAAACGGCTCACATACGAGGCCTTTGACTACGCTAAGAAAGCTCTGGAGAAAAATCAGGCTTGCTTTGCAGCACACAAAGTAGGTGATCATTTCTGTTTGTAAATGTGTATTGCAGTGTTTGAGCAAATATTAGATGTTTTATCACCCTGTCGTCTGCAGTGGTTCGCAATCTGCCTCATGCGTAATGTTCACATTTGGCCCAATGCAGGTTCATAAGGAAGCGCTGGAGCTGCTGAAGAAACTCAGATGATGAGTAGCAGCTAAATCAGACCCGATGCGATCTAACAGTTACCCAGAGATGCCTTCATTGATTTTTGTAATGACTTACCATTGATTTATGTATGATGGCGATTTATTATTCGCTATTTTAGACTCTTAAGTGTCTGCCATTATCTGAAGCTGAATGAAAGGACGATGTCTAAATGTAATGCAGACTGTATTTGACTAGTACTGGTGTATTTCTAGCACTCTTGAATGTTTACAGATACGATGCTCACCGCAAACAGACCCTGGACTGACTGCAGATCAAAGATCACTCAGTGAAGCTTCAACATGTGACTAATCTGTTTATCGTATAGTAATGAGGATTTTTATCAAACTCTTTTAACACACGTGTGCACCTGGATACTTCTCTGAATACTTCAGTTTACCTCCGTTTTCTCACAGAATCGTCCATCCACCTTTGAAGACACGGAAACTTATGAAACATGGTTTTTGTTTTTTATTTACATGAATCTGATTTCAAATGTTTTGGAAGCAATTAATTAAACTAACAAAAATTAATTTAACAAATTTTGTTCTCTCTGAAAATGAAATAAATTCAAACAAACGTGAATATATATATTTATGCTGGGCTCAGAGTTCTGTGTTGAGATGCAATTAAAGAATCTAAAAAACCCCCACAGGAATCTCCATCAGTGCTTGAAGAACACGAAGAGACAGCAGAGTTTGTTTGAACTCATATATTTTAATATGAAAGATATTCATGGACAGTTTTCCTCCCCTGACGGTCAAAGGCCACAGAAATAGTGAAGTGCTTCGAGCACAACTGATGTTCTGAGCGAGTGCAGAGAGAGACCAATACTGTCGAGAGCCAGTCGTGATGAATGATATGTGAGACAGCGGTCTACAGGAGTCCAATCATCTCTCAGTCTGCAGGCAGCCATGCAAGCGCTTCATCACAACTCAGTGTCCAACAACACAAAACTAATCAAGAAAAACCCCAGGCACCTGATCAAACTCTACAATCATTCTGTAAAAGCTCTATAAAACTAGAGCCGTAAGTTTGAGTTCTACTATAAAATCATCTCTAATGTTTTTTTTCAGACTCATTTTACAAACCCGCCAAATGAATAAAACGAAGCGTTGTTGTATATAGATACCAGCATCGAAAAGATCAGAAAAGCTCAAACGCTTGCATATTCATGGGGAATCATGTTATGACAATCGCTAAATGAGGTCTTAAGATAAAGATTTGGTTTAAAATGACAAAATAGCTTATTTACATTGGTAATCATCTGTGCAAGTTTCATGGTTTTGTTTTACTTGGCTGATGCGTGGCCATAAAGAGGAAAGACGCTTCATCACTCTTGACCGAATCCTTCCGTCTCCTCGATCGCAAAGAGCAGCTTCTCCTTCAGCTGTTCGAAGCTTTTGTAGGGGGGCAAATCCAGCCGGTTAAAGCTGCGAACAGAAAACACAGAGTGAGACGTGAGTGTCATCAGCCTGTGACCCTACCTTCATCCTGAACACTCACCAGGTGTGACTCCGGGGCAGCCACGTCTCTTTGCCCACCTTCTCAATGCAGAACTTCTGCGGTCCGTTGCTTCCTGGAGGATGAAGAATCAGAAGAAGAGGGTTCAGATGTGTCTGTGTCACACGGGTGAGGGGAATAAACAAGCGTGTTTGTGTTTTTCTGCATGAGTTTCTGGATTGACTGGAGACTCACCCATGAGCTCAGCGAAGCCGCCCAGCGGAAGCCTGCAGGTGCCCGTCACAAACTGCATCAGACGCAGACGCACCTCGTTATCCACCTCCTTCACCAACTAAATACACACACATCACAACACGATTCACTTTACTGGGCCAAAACCAGCTTCCTCCTTCAGTTCAGTCTGTAACAGACTAACAGCTAAACATCCCAATCACTGACATAGAAAATACATGAAAAGCATGTAAAATGATCCAGGGTTAACTCGCATCTAATTAATCTAATAAAATAACTAAGGATGGATTATTCATTACCATTGACAGGATAATATGTTAAACAGCACGTTTGTTAGATCTTGAGAATCAATGTGAACATATCTTGTAGTAACATTATTTATCGCCCAGACACTCTTCCAGATAAATCCAAATGGACAAACTTTGTCTATTAGTCTATTAGCATACTGCAGCAAAAGTTAAAATTACATTTACAACCACTTCAAAAGGCATTATATTATTCATTTAGTTAATTAACAGTAATTACATTTTTTAAATATTGGTTTAGGGCTGGCCCCTAATAGTCAACTAACCGTTAGTCAACCAAAAGAGGCGTAGGCCCCGTCCACACGGAGACGCTTTTAGCTGTATACGCATACATTTTGTATCGTATAGGCGTTTCGTCCACACGGATCCAGTAGCCCCTCACTGCAGAACAAAGATCCAGGGGGCGGGGTTGGATCCACATCTAGGGGGTGGAGATGGGTGGGTTTAGGGATCAGGGGGTGGAGACGGGTAGGTTTAGAGGTGGAGACGGGTAGGGTTTAGGGATCAGGTGGTGGAGACAGGTGGGTTTAGGGATCAGGTGGTGGAGACGGGTGGGTTTAGGGGTGGAGACGGGTGGGTTTAGGGATCAGGTGGTGGAGACGGGTAGGTTTAGGGGTGGAGACGGGTGGGTTGGTGGGTTTGGTGAGTTTAGGGATCAGGGGGTGGAGATGGGTGGGTTTAGGGATCAGGTGGTGGAGACGGGT